ACAGGGATCGAACCGCCGACGTTCTGATCGGCAAGTCCTAGGCTCTGTGGTTTAACCCACAGCGCCACCTGTGTCCCTTCCCCTGCTGGTAGGCAGATATTAAACAGATATTAAACAGAGTAAACCTTTTAGTAATATGGCACGACATTTACAAGGAAAGCTTCACCTGTCTGTAAGTATGTCTGCCAGACATGCTTTCCTTTTTGGCATGCCAATCACACCTATAAAAGAGGGTACCGATTCGCATATGGCATAAAGTGTATGCATTTTTAAATACAGAATTGTGTCTTCTTTGCTGAGAGTGCAGCAGAGGGCCCAATCTACATACCATAAACTGGGCCCAGAAAATCCTGCCAGCGCCACCAGATAGGACTGCTTGGAGCACCAAGTGAGCATTGTGAGAACAAGCTCACAAAGGCTGACCTATTGTTTATGGCAGGATTTTGACAATCTTATGTTAACATCCCCACTAGGATTAATATCAAAATAGGGTCGGCATTGATCCCCGGTAGTGGTGGATTCATTTCTCCTAGAATAATGCAATAATCATGGGTGCATTGTTGTATTTGATACCTCCCCTCCCCCTTCTATAATATTGAATTTTACTGACTTACGCAGGAAGCCAGCAATGTTCAATCTGTTCCAAAATGAAATGAAACACTTCCCAACGCAGGAAATATAAAGTAGATTGTAAAGAAAAAGACCCAGGTTTCCTTTAACTTTGCATGCTGTAGATCAAGTCTTTATCTCGCTGTTACCAGCGTTTTTTACAGAATGGAGTAGGGCAATGTTTCATACAAGGGTAAACTCACTTTCATTCAGTGTATTCTATCCCATCACAAGCAGAGTTCTGCTCATAGAATGGGGCTTTCCCCTCCCCTTCTCAAAATACAGTGGTACCTCGGTTTAAGAACTTAATTTGTTCTGGAGGTCCATTCTTAACCTGGAACTGTTCTTAACCTGAGGTACCACTTTAGCTAATGGGGCTTCCTGCTGCTGCCACACCACTGGAGCACGATTTCTGTTCTCATCCTGAAGCAAAGTTCTTAACCCAAGGAACTATTTCTGGGTTAGCGGAGTCTGTAACCTGAAGCGTCTGTAACCTGAAGCGTCTGTAACCTGAGGTACCACTGTATGTAGCCCACTGCTCCTAAGGACTGGAGGATTGTCAGGAAGGACATGGGATATCACAGGCCTGTAGCTGCAGGGTAGTGGGCTTGACGGAAATCATGTACACTCTTCCCTTGCATGGGCAAAGAGACTATCTCTTGCCCTTCTATCAAAAAGTAAAAGGGAGTAGCCTGCCTTTTCATTGTAGAAGTTGTGCTCACAATCATTCTTGGCTACATCTTATTTATTTATTTATACTCTACCCTACCCTTCCTGCTGTATGGGACGCGGGTGGTGCTGTGGGTTAAACCACAGAGCCTAGGACTTGCCGATCAGAATGCCGGCGGTTCAGATCCCTGCGATGGGGTGAACTCCCATTGCTCGGTCCCTGCTCCTGCCAACCTAGCAGTTCAAAAGCATGTAAAAGTGCAAGTAGATAAATAGGTACCACTCCGGCGGGAAGGTAAACGGCGTTTCCGTGCACTGCTCTGGTTCGCCAGAAGTGGCTTAGTCATGCTGGCCACATAACCTGGAAGCTGCACGCTGGCTCCCTCAGCCAATAAAGTGAGATGAGTGCCGCAACCCCAGAGTCGGCCACGACTGGACCTAATGGTCAGGGGTCCCTTTACCTTTACCTTTCCTCCTGACAGAACTCGGGAAGTCTTATAGATAAAAATAAGAACCACTATAAACACAGAAAAAACAATAGTGATTTTCATTTAACATTCATAGAATTGTAGAGTTGAAACAGACCACCAGGGTCATCTAGATAATTATAATAATAAAAAATCATGGCACCAGCCTTTTCCTTAAAAGCAGTCAGGCCTCCCCCCAAAGCTTGTTGGAGCAAGGAAGTATTCACCTTTCTTGGTGGTGGAAGAACAACGAGGACGGGAGTCAGCCTTGCTCCTCTAGGGAGAGAGTTGTAAAGTCTGGGAGCAACCACTGAGAAGGCCCTCTTCCACCTTGACTAGAACCTCTGTTGCCCTTTGTTGCCGGGGTGTGTGTGTGTGTTTGTCTCAACTTCACTGACAAGCACTCTGCTCCTGGGCAGATTAATTATCCATTTGAAAATCTTTTTAGAGAAAGATACCGCCAAGCACAGTCTTCTCCTCCATGATGGAATCATGCCCTTTCCCCAAGATCAGTGGGAGAAGCTTTCTTGTATGTCCTGTCACTTTCACAAGTATTGCTGGTTGGAAGAAAAGGGAAAGTGCCTTCTCTGTTATGGGGCTCAGAATGTGGAATTCTCTGCCCCAGAAGGTTCAGCTCTTCCCCACACTATCTATTTTCTCCCACCTCCTTTTAATTTTGGCAAGACTGTGTTTACTGTGTGGTTTTCTTACTCCACCCACAATCTATCTATTGCTGCTAAGAGTAGCGTTGAGCCAAAATCTGTCCTCCAGTCCCTCAACAACACCTCTATGAAAGAGGCTTCTATTTTTCTTCAGATGTTGTTGGTATCCAACTCCCATCACCCCCAGCCAGTGTGGCCAACGTTCATGGTTGGAAGTTCCAATCCAATACATTCAGTGGGCATCAGATTGGGGAAGGCTGCTGTCAGTTGTGTGCTGGAAGAGCGCTGACTTGCATTCACTCCAAGGTGTCTTTGTTACCCTTGGGGCTAATTCACAAGTCATTCGAACCACATTACTGTCATGAACACTCAGTAGCCTTAGGGAGAACTGCTGTTCTCTAAGCCTCAGTCTCCCATCTGCAATATGGAGGAAATAATATTGGCTTACCTCACATGATTGTTGCAGGAATTTGTGAGGTAATCTCTGTGTCAATGCTTTGAAAGGTGCCTTTTAAATTATCGTTTCATGGCAAATGTTTGCTGCAATATGTGCATGGAATAGCTGCATTGTGCTGTGAGACAGCTAGTTTTGTGGCTTGCTAGAGGGCTTCCTGTTGAGTGCAATGTGTATAAATGGCCCAGTGCCTTGACTCTGAAGTATGTGTAACAGCTGGAGAAGGGAGAACTTTGGAACTGCACTTTAGGGAACATATTTTCTGAGCTGCTTGCAGATTTCACTGTTGACCTCGCCACCCCCAGCTGCTTGTTCCAGGTGTTTAGCCCAAAATGTTTCATGCATTATGAGCCGTCAAGGAAGCCACTGCAGAGCTGGCCTGTTCATTAAAAGATCTTGCTCTTTGACTTGCTCCTTGAATTCAGATGTCTCTTTCGGTACTGTTTGTTCTGAAGCTAGCTGGCAAAATTTATTCCTGGTAGCCAAATGAAAGGGTTGTAAAAGCCAAGGTGACTTTCCATTAACAGGCGAAGGGTAATTGAAGCTATTGGTTAGTTTCCAAAAAGAAAAGAGGGGAATCAGTTGTGTGTATCACTACCCCCACCTGCATACTTTGCCCAAACCTCTCTTCAAATCAGGAGGTGTTACAAGACAGCTGAGTGACTCATCCATTTGGCTGTCTATTTTTGCCACCTGAGCTTCCACTGGGACCCTCTCTCAAAATGTTTGCTGTGATGTAACACTGTTTTCTTTTAAATGAAGAAGCAGCAGTATTGGGCTGCTCCACTATTGATTGAAGTGTCAGCAAAGTGTTTTGTTCTCTTTAGAGAAACGGCCTCAGCAGGACCACGGCAAGGCTTAAGTAGCACCCTGGACAACTCATGCAGCAGATCACAAGAACAGAGCTCAAAGTTGGGTTTCAGCAGCACTCAGCCTCAGAAGGAGCTTTCAATGAGACATGCAGATCTGCCTAGGTACAGGTGAAACTCGGAAAATTAGAATATCATGGAAAAGTTCATTTGTTTCAGTAATTCAACTTAAAAGGTGAAACTAATATATGAGATAGACTCATGACATGCAAAGCGAGATATGTCAAGCCTTTATTTGTTATAATTGTGATGATCATGGAGTACAGCTGATGAAAACCCCAAATTAACAATCTCAGAAAATTAGAATATTAAATGAAATCAGCAAAACAAGGATTGCAAATAGAGCAATATTGGACCTCTGAGAAGTAGAAGCATGCATATGTACTCAGTACTTGGTTTGGGCCCCTTTTGCATCAATTACTGCCTCAATGTGGTGTGGCATGGATGCTATCAGCCTGTGGCACTGCTGAGGTGTTATGGAAGACCAGGATGCTTCAATAGCAGCCTTCAGCTCTTCTGCATTGCTCGGTCTCATTTCTTTCATCTTTCTCTTGGCAATGCCCCATAGATTCTCTATGGGGTTCAGGTCAGGCGAGTTTGCTGGCCAATCAAACACAGTAATCCCATGGGCATTGAACCAGGTTTTGGTACTTTTGGCAGTGTGGGCAGGTGACAAAGTCCTGCTGGAAAATGAAGTCAGCATCCCCATAAAGCTTGTCTGTGGAAGGAAGCATGAAGTGCTCCAAAATCTCCTGGTAGACGGCTGTGTTGACCCTGGACTTAATGAAGCACAGTGGAACAACACCAGCTGATGAGATGGCTCCCCAAATCTCTTTTCTGATGAGAGCAGCTTTTGCATCTCATTTAGAAACCAAGAACCCAGAGTCTGGAGGAAGAATGGGGAGGCACACAATGTCAGATGCTTGAAGTTCAGTGTGAAGTTTCCACAGCCTGTGGAAGGCTTGACAAATAAAGGCTTGACATATCTCGCTTTGCATGTCATGAGTCTATCTCATATATTAGTTTCACCTTTTAAGTTGAATTACTGAAATAAATGAACTTTTCCAAGATATTTAATTTTCCAAGTTTCACCTGTAGATAGCTCTGACTTCCATGGGGGAGCCTCTTCATTTAAACAGGCCCAGCCTGCTTTAGGAGTCATTGATTCTAACAAAGTGGGGGTGAATGTTGGTCCACCAGGGCTTCTGACTTGGAGTCCTCAGAGCCAGACAAAGGCAACCTTGTGACCACAGGACAAAAAAATATATACTGGCATGTAGCTCAGTGTTTGAGGCACCTGCTTTTTATGCAGAAGGTCCCATGTTCAGTTCCTGGCATTTCTAGGTGGGTTTGGGAATGTCCTCCATCCCAGAGATCTCTGCCAGTCAGTGTAGACAATGGTGAGCTAGAAAGACAAGTGGCCAACTTAGTAAAGACAGCTTCCTGTGTTCTGCAGTATGTACACCTGGCAATGGTCTGAGGGCAGTCTCCTCTTTCACTCTCTGAATCCCCAGCCTTATCAAAGTCAAGACACATTTTTATTGTGAAGGGGGAAAATAGAAACCCTTGATCATCTTGTAATTAAGTCCCTCCCTCAAGAAGTAGTAGAATTGGGTAGAATTTCTTTTTTATAGATATAAATTTTTATTAGTTTTTTAACATATCATTTTCAACAGTAATTAATTTTACGTCTTATTCAATTTTTTTTACTTCCATCAGTCCTGTCTGAAAATTTTCCAATCTCATCTCTTAGTATGCATTTCTTATTTTCCCTATTACATTTCAAACTCATAACCAATAGCTCTGTCGTTTTATATTTTGTAACACTTTGTATATTTCTCCTTACAAAACTTCTTGTAGTCCTACTAGTGTAATTTGTTGATTACAGTTGCTCTTCAAATAATTCATATACTTCTTCCAATCTTCTTTAAATGGCTGGTCCCACAGGTTTTGAATCCTTCCTGTCATTTTGTCCAATTCTGCATAGTCCATTAATTTCGTCTGCCATCCTTCTTTCATGAGAATTTCTTCTTGCTTCCATTTCTGGGCTAACAATACTCTTGCCGCTGTAGAATTGGGTAGAATTTCACACACTGTTATGGCTTGGTCTCTCCCACAAACACGAGATGACTCTGGCTGTTAATTATTTCAGATTTATTGCTAAAACAACAAACTAGGACGGAGCTCCTCTACTCAGCGTCCTCCCCAGAAGATGGAGTTGCCCAGACTGAGCTCCTTCCCCTTCCCCAGCACAGAAGCCACCACCTTCTCTTCCAATATCTTTCACACGTCTTGGCCACTCTTGAGATCCAGGAGATTTGGGAGAGTATGTTTCCTGCATTCCAAAGTCTAGCTCACTATCGGAGTTCTCACACAGCTTTCTGCCTTCCGCTGCTAACTGTCCTCTCCCCGTGCCTGCTTCTCCTCCTCCTGTCAGCATCTGAGCTGAGCTCTCTCTCTCTCTCTCTCTCTCTCTCTCTCTCTCTCACACACACACACACACATTGAAGAACTCCCCCCACACACAAACACACTCATTTTTGTAGGAGAGGTATGGCCCAATGAGCAGTGGTCCTCAACTTTAGGGCAGTGGTTCCCAACTCCCCCTTACATGGACCACGTGAAAATTGCTAAGAGTTTTGCGGAACCACATAATTAATCTGCCTGTTGTAGCCATTGTAATGTGGTGTGCTAGGTGCTGCATGAATTTTTAAATGTATTTTAATTGCTTATTTAATTTCTTAGATTGCATTTTATTGTACTGTATTTTGAATTCCATGGAATACAATATAAAGCACAACAATAAATAATAAACTATAATGTAAGAAATAAAAAGCAATAAACATATAATTAAAATCAACAGGGATGCACTGTGACAGCCGTTCACAGCCACTGCACCTGTTGTTCTTCACAGACATGCCATGGACCACCTGAATGAAGCTTATGGGCTATTGTTTGTCCACAGACCACAGCTTGTTACGCCCTCTGGTTTAGAGGATATTTGGTTGTGGTCAACCTGGGACTTCCTGCATGTAGAAGACGCATTCTATAATTAACCCACGGTCCCTTCCAATATCTCCATACCACACTTTTTTAAAAGTACAATGATTAGGACAGCTTTTTCTCCTTTATCCTTAATTGTTGATTGATCTCATGACACTAAAACAACCCAGTCAGTTGGGTGGGTACTGATGATGATATAATAATCAACATCATCATCATCATCACATTCTTATCCCCCCTCCTTATTCCCTTGCTCCCTATCCACTCAGCATGAAGATCAGTATATGCAGTTAAGATTCTTGAAAGTCTTCTCTTCCCTTGCTGCTATGTGGGCAGGCTTGGGTGGCATTTAACAAAAGCCATCAAGAAGTTTTTGTTCCTGACCAGGCTTCTTAGAAGGGCACCATGAGGCATAAATACTCTGTACTACAGTGAATGATGTAGGTACAAGAAGTCCTCTGCAGCAGAGAGAGAGGATGTTTGGAAGCCAAAATATGTCCTTAAAAGAACAGTGTTTTTGAGTGAGGGATTTGATTCATTTTGTTTATTGGTTTGCTGTTCCCAGTTTATAACCACAGGAGGCAAGGCTGAAAACTTTACTGAAATATATAGCATGGTTGAAGGGATTGGATCTGTATGAACCCTTTGTAATAAATCTTCAAGGTTGCTCTATATATAAACAGATATTGTCTACAAGCATGAGGGACGTAAAGGAGTGTGTTTTCTTGACAAATACACTGACATGTTTCCTGCTCACCTGTCCAAGAAAATGGTGTGTTCTCCTGGGTATTGTTCCCCTTTCTGGAATTGAATTGATCACAGAATTGAGAATAAGAGGTGCTAAATTCAGTCCTATCCTACTGCTTGTCTTAAGGTAGAATCAGCCAACATGTAGCAAATCAGCACATCTCATCTGTTTTTTTATGTATCTGGGGCATTTTTACTCTTCAGACAAAAAGGGGGGGAAAGGGGGGAAGCATTCTAGAATGACCTTAAAAGCTCAGCATTTAGACAGCCGATTGCCTTTGGTCTTACAATCTTAAAGACGCAGAAGGAAAAGAACTGGGAACAGAGGAGGAAAAGTCAAACACACAGGCACTAGTTCTTAGCTACAGAGTCCTGATAATCGCTAGCTGAAATGGTAAACAGTTCAAGCAGAAGAGAAGCCAAAGTTTTCTGGTGTCACAACTGAGCAGAAACCAAATGGAGCCCATTTCAGATATTTGCTGGAGAAGAAATGTGTCTTGTAGAGCACACAAAGATTACTTAGGGCTCAAATCACCATGGCATGGTTCCACGAGAGTCCCTTGATAAGATTTCTGCTGTTGGAGGTATCTGATTCTGACTAGAGAATTGTCAATAGGTGTTGGGGAGGACGAGGAGGACGAGGTTTACTTTATCCCCAACTCTGGGTTGCATCAAACACTCATGTTGCTATTCTGCTCATGTAACAGACTTCCACTTGAAGAATGGAATACCTCCTCCATTCTTCTTTACTGCAGCCTCCATGAACCCTCAGAATTTAGTTGGGGGACCCTCCCAAGATGATTTGGAGGGCAAGAGGTGAGAGGAAAGGAAAGAGAAGTACCATTACGTGAGTGGGACATCACTTTTCAGCGTTAGAGGCAACCCTCTGTCTTGAGATCTGAACCGCATACACTAAATCTGCTATGAGCCCTGCTCCATCTGTCCGTCTATACATTTGTTTTCTGTCTCTCTATGCATACACACTCACATACACATAACAATACAGATACTTACGCTATTTCTACTTATGCTACTTCTCTCTCATTGTTTATTTGTTTTAATCTTCTCCGCTTCCCCCTGTTGCTGGCATTAATTATTCACATATGTTAATTATGTATATTCCTCACAGGCTCTCATTTGGATTACTGGAAACTGCTGTGTTCATTAAAAACCGTATAGCTACCTTCAGGGATGCAAATAGTTCCATTTTGCAAGACGTTGGGTGAGCAAACAGAGTCTGGAACCCTCTAGACATAAGTCTGTGGTTTCTGATGAACAAGGCAGACCTCATTGAAAAGACACAAGCATTTGCTAGGGTTTGAGGACTCCATTAGAGCCCTCCCCCCAATTCGTTTTCCCTGTGAGTCCAATCAAGATGTTTCCTTTTCCTATAATTCTATATAATGTGGAATTGCCCCATGGAATTGGTGGGAATTAGACACCAGAGTTCTTTGTCCAATATGCAATTCATTTGTGGAATATATTGCTACAAAATTTATTGGGAGCCTCTAACTTTATATGCTTTTAAGAGAGAATTGGACAAATGCATAAAGGAGATGTGTGAAACTTCACAGTAGTCTGTATGGTCTCCCTCATTCTGTCCTCACCACAACCCTGTGAAGCCAGTTAGCCTGAGAGATCCTGACTGGCAACGAGGTCACCCAGTAAGGAGGGTGGAGAGTAAACCCAAGTCTCTCCAACCTAAACCTAACTCTTAATTCACTCTCATCCTAAACCTCCACTGCCTTGTGCTTATACTCATTCCCTGAGGAAAAATACATAACCGCTGCCTTGCAGGACATCTTCAGGAGAAGAAAAAGCTAAGGAGTAAACCCTAAGACAGTTGGGTGGTGCCTTGTGTTCCTCCTTCTGGTAACTCTTGTAACCAAGCTGGTGCCAAATGTATTGCTGTGCTCTCCTTTGGACCACATCAGTGAGGCTGAGAGAGGGGTCTTGTTGTCTGGGCAGCCCAGGACCTATGCAAACTGCCCAGGCTTCCACCCTGGAGAGGTAGGTCACTTTGGTGCTGCTAACACAGCAGTTTGACTTCATCCCCACAGGCTCACTCCATTGTCTCTCAAGACAGATGGATGCCAACACCACCACGCTGGTTTTAAGTGGTGCTTGAATGCCAGAAAAGTAATATGCTGTTAGGATTCTTGCTCCGTGTTTGCAGTCATGGGATTGTTGTCTATCACATGACGGTGTACGTTTTCATTCCACAGTGTGGGAAGTGACAGAGACAGGATGTTTTGTGTTACTGCGTTCTGTGAAGTGGGACTGTTGTCCTTTGTTCTTTCTCTCTTTTCTGTCTGATGAGAAAGAGGAAGGAGCTAAGTCAGAATGCTCCGAGTGTATTATATGTAAATAAAGTAGATTATCCAAAATGCTGTGCTACTGAGTTCTGTTACGCAAACTGCAAATACTCTGCAGGATCCCTGAGCGTGCTAATACCTTTTGGTATCAGTCGCTGTGATATTCGGGTTGGAGAAAGCCTTTGAAGCTCCCAAACAACCAACCAGGAGGGAGAGAACATGCCAGTCAGGCATGTGTCTCTGCTGGGGTCTTACACGAGAGTAGGACAATCCGGACA